AGAACTCACACGACTCCACTCCAGGAAGACAAACAATCCAATTAAAAAACGGGCAAAGGACCTGAACAGACACTTCTCCAAGGAGGACATACACAGGGCCCAGAGACATATGAAACTCACTAGTGCTCAGCATCACTAGCTATCAGAGAGATGCAAATTCAAACCACAATGAAATACCACTTCACACCAGTCCAAATGGCCATCATAAACGAATCAACAAACAAGAAGTGCTGGTGAGGTTGTGGGGAAAAGGTAATCCTAACACACTGTTGGTGGGAATGCAGACTGGTGCAACCACTGTGGAGAAAAATATGGCATTTCCTCAAAAAAACAAAACATGGAACTGCCTTTTACCCAGCAATTCCACTGCTGGGATTATACCCTAAGAATCCCGAAACACCAATTCAAAAGATCCTACGCACCCCAATGTTCATAGCAGCTCAATTTACAATAGCCAGTACTGGAAGCAGTCTAAGTGCCCATCAGTAAATGAATGGATCAAAAACCTGTGGTGCATTTACACCATGGAATACTATGCAGCAGAGAGAAAGAAGGAACTCCTACTCTTTGTGACAACATGGATTGAACTGGAGAGCATTATGCTAATGAAATATGCCTAGTGGTGAAAGACAAATACCATATGATCTCACCTATAAGTGGAACCTAATCAACAAAACAAACAAGCAAGCTAAATAGAACCAGATACATGAAGATAAAGAATAAACTGACAGTGACCAGAGTGTAGGGCAGAGGGGGACAACAGGGGAAAGAAGAGGAAGGGTCATCAAGGAATTGTGTAAAGGACCCATGGAGAAAGCCACATAGGAGAAGGATTGAAGGTGGGAGGTGGGGGTCATTGGGGTGGGGGAGAAGGGTGGCGGTAAAATGGAGACAACTGCACTTGAACAACAATAAAAATAAATAAATAAATTACAAGTATACCTTAAAAAAATAAAGGCATCCAAATTGGAAAGGAGGAAGTAAAACTCTCCTTCACAGATGACATGACATTATACATAGAAAACCCTAAAGACTCCACCAACTACTAGATCTAATCAATGAATTGGGTAAAGTATCAGAATACAAAATAAATATTCACAGATTGGTGACATTTTTATATATCAATGATGAACTAGTAGAAAAAGAAACTAAGAAAACAATCACGTTTGCTATCGCAACGAGAAAAAAATAAAGTAACTTGAAATAAACTTAACCAAGGTGGTGAATGTCCTGTACTCAGAAATCTACAATATATTGAGAAAAGAAATTGAGGAAGATACAAATAAGTGGAGCATATACCTTGTTCAAAGATTCGAAGAATTAACATCATTTAAATGTTTGTACTACGCATATCTATCTATAGATTCAATGCAATTTCTGTTAAAATACCAATGACATATGTCACATATTTAGAACAAAATTCCAAAAATTTATATGGAACCAAAACAGCATCTGAATAGCCTCAGCAATCTTGAGAAAGATGAACACAACTGGAGGTATCACTGCACCTAATATCAAACTATACTACAAGTCCACTGTGATGAAAACAACCTGTCATTGGCATAAGAATAGGCATATAGATCAATGGAACAGAACAGAGAGCCCAGAAATCAACCCATGGTTCTATGGTCAATTAATATTTGACAAAGAAGGCAGGAGCATAAAATGAGGTAAAGACAGTTTCTTCAAAATGGTGTTGAGAAATCATAGAAGTAAACACGGAGAGTATAAGCCTGAACATGACTCATAACAGTGTTTGCCAATATATCTCCTAGTAGAAGGGAGAGAAAGGAGAAAAAAGTAAGCAAATGGGACGACATCAATCTAAAAAGTATCTGCATAGCAAAAGAAACCATCTGGAAATAGAAAAGGCAACCCACTCTATGCAAGAATATATTTGCAATGATACATTTTAAAAGGGGTTAATTTCAAAAATATGTAATTGCTTAACACAAATCAACACCGGGAAGATAAACAATCCAATTAAAGAATGGTCTGCAACACTGAAAGGAAAAGAAATCAACAGAGACAAGAGGGAAGGGGGGGGCAGGGAAAGGGAAGGGAAGGGGAAAGTCAAGGAACATATAGCAAGGACTCATGGACAAAACCAAAGGGGAAGAGCTGAGGGAGGGAAGGTGGGAGGGGGCAAGGGAAAGAGGTGGGGGGAAGGCAGAGACAAATGTATTTAAAAAGTAAATAAATTAATTAAAAAAAAAAGAATTTATGACATTTAAAAATAAAAAAAAAAATAAAATAAAAAAAAAATAAAGAATGGTCTACAGACCTCAATATATCCTTTTCCACGGAATACATACAGATACTCAGTAGACATACGAAAAATGCTCAATCTTACTAATTATCAGAGAGCTGTAAATAAAAGCTGCAATGAGGCAACACCTCACACATGTCAGAATGGCTACCATCAAATCAAGAAAGAGTAGGTGCTGGCAAGGATGTGGAGAAAAGGGAATCCTCATGTAATTTAGAATGAAATGCAGACTGGTACAGCCACTTTGGAAAACAGTATGGAGTTTCAATTAAAAAATTAAAAATAAAATAGCCATTTTACCCAGCAATCCCACTTTTGGGATTATATTCTGAAAATCCCAAAACACCAGTCAGAAAGAACATGCACCCCTATGTTCATAGCAGCATTATTTACAATAGCCAAGATCTGGAAACTGCCCGAGTGCCCATTAGTAGATTAGTGTATAAAAATCCTGTGATGCATTAACATAATGGAATACTATATGTAAAAATGAAGGAACTCTTACCCTTTATAACAATATGGATGGACCTGAAGATTATTATGATAAGCAAAATAAGCCAAGGAAAGACAAATACCATATGATCTCACTTATATGTGGAATCTAATGAACAAAATACTTGGATGAACAAAATAGAACCAGATGCATAGATACATGGAACAGACTGACAGCTCTCAGAGTGGAGTGGGGTGGAGGGCATTGAATAAAAGAAGATTAAGGGATTAGCCAAAGAACATGTATGCATAGCCCATGGACATAGATAATAGTGTGGTGAAGGCCAGGGGAAGAGAGGGACAGAGGATCAGTGGAGGTGGACAAAGGGAGGGGAGAAGGAAGGACATGCATAATAACATCAAATTATATATATATATATTTAAAACATTTTAATGGTAAAATATGATATATAAAGATCATTTATATTGATCCACTTGAATCTGCAACTTGTGCTTTTCAAAATTTTTACAAGATATTTCACATGGAGATATTCTACAAATACAAAAGAAATATGGATACCCCTCTTTCCAATTAGACAAAGGACACAAGCAGGCAAGTCATAATTTAAAAACACACATGCCCAATAAATGCACATCAATATATTCAGCCTCACTCTTTTCAATAAATGCAGCTAAAAATTATAAAATATGTGATGATGGAAGATGATTGGACAGATTACATATCATAGAATTATACACTTGAAACCTATATAATCTTATTAACCAATGTTACCCCAATAAATTTTATAAAATACAATAATGGGATAAATTTTTTTACCTATTATTTTGGTAAAAATTTAAGAAATGTCTAATATTTGTGACTATATGCAGAAATGAGTAATGATTCACATGCTTCTATTATTAATATGAATTGGTGTTCTTCCTGAAAAAAAATAGCAAAAGTTTTTTAAAGACATATCCTTTTCATTGAACAGTTGCACTTCTAACAATTTATCATTAAGAAGAAAACAGGGACAGTGATTTTTACACAAATATATATATTTTTAATAGCAACATATTTTTAATTATTTTAACTGTTGATACTATTACAGATGTCCAACAACCAATCTGTCCATTGATAAAAAATTTGCTAAATACAAGGACTCATGGACAAAACCAAAGGGGAAGAGCTGAGGGAGGGAAGGTGGGAGGGGGCAAGGGAAAGAGGTGGGGGGAAGGCAGAGACAAATGTATTTAAAAAGTAAATAAATTAATTAAAAAAAATTTGCTAAATAAATTGAGGTGTGTTATTAAATGAGTTCTTTTAGGTAATCTGATTTACATGTTTATTTATCATCATAAGAACATCTATGAAAGTATATAACAAAAAGGTTAAAATGTGTGAGTATGTATAGTATGATTCAATATAAATATTTTTTTAATTTTATTTTAATTTATTTTTTCAAATACATTTGTCTCTGCCTCCCCCCTACCACTTTCCCTTGCCCCCTGCCTCCTTCCCTCCCTCAGCTTTTCCCCTTTGGTTTTGTCCATGAGTCCTTGCTATATGTTCCTTGACTTTCCCCTTCCCTTCCTTTTCCCTGCCCCCCCCCCTTCCCTCTTGTCTCTGTTGATTTCTTTTCCTTTCAGTGTTGCTGGTCTTATTTTCCTTGCATCTTTGTATTGTTGGTTAGGTTCCACTTATAGGTGAGATCATATGGTATTTGTCTTTCGCCCCCTGGCTTATTTCACTTAGCATAATGCTCTCCAGTTCCATCCATGCATATAGAAACATTTTTAAAAATACATATATGTATTAGTTATATTTGGAAATAAAAATGACATACATCCAAACATTAAAAATGAGTTTTCTGTTGTGGTGAGATTATTTGTAAACTTTATCTTGTTAATTAATATATTCTTTCATACAAAATCATGTTTTAAAGAAAAAAGTTATTCTAGGAAACAAATTATTTTGTTCAAACAATTTCTTTTTTGATATAGATGTCAATTATCATGGATACAGTTCACCACTTTGTATAATTTATTCCTTCTATTAACTTTTATTGTGCCTGTATAATAATTATGACCTTTAAAAAATAAGAGCAGGAGAACCTCCTGGGTATAAAAATTGTCTTTATAACTTTGAAGATCTATTAAACTATTGATTATCCCACAGGTGTAGCTGAGGTTCCTCTGAAGTAATATGGGCATGGATATATGTAGATTTATAAAAGTAATATTGGCAAGAAAATGTCACAAAAATAATGCCTGATAAATGGCTACTTTTATCAAACAGGAAGCTGAAAAAGCTAAGCATCAACTAAAGTATTTCCTAAATCAAAGGGAGTTACTTAAAAGTGACAAGAAATCTAAGACAACAATGGAAAGGAATATAAGTAAAACAAATGTAAGTGAAGATTCACAATCTATACCTTTGGAGAAAGAAACAAGAAAAGAACAAGTTGCAGACTCAAGGGGATAAAAGACAAATGCTAAAATTCAAGAACATTCACAGGTAAGGAAATACTCAGATAGTAATATGTGCTGTCAGGGCTTAATCTTTTATATTATTATTTGCCTTATTTGTATATATTATTAACAAATTTCTCCATGCCTTTTTTTTTGCTTGGATTTTTCCTTTTATCTTCTGGGTATATTAAGTCATTATTATCTTGAGTGCAAATGAAACAATCAAATATGTTTTGATTTTGTGATTGATATTTATAGACAGTTGAATGTTGACATCTTATTTTCAAGATGTTTGAATACAGACTTGTCAGATATAAAATAATGTATTATACATTTACCTGTTATTTAATAGTGATATAATCAACTTATATTACTTTCAGATGTACTGCAACTAGTACATTATATAATATAATGATTTGACATTTACATATTTTGCAAAATTATTAACATAATATGTCTAGTTAACATCTGTCACCATAACTAGTTACAGAATTTTTTCCTTATGATGAGAACTTTTAAGATGTTACTGTCTTAGCAACTTTCAAATATGCAATACAGTATTATTAGCTATAATTACCATGCTGTACATTATATCACTTGGACTTATTTACTTTATAACTAGAAGTTTGTACCTTTTGACTGTCTTCACCCATTTTGCCTACTCCCAGCCCACACCTCTGGCAACCAACAATCTGTTTTCTGTATCTATAAGCTTTTCTTTTTTATAGATTTCACATATAAGATAACAAACAATTTGTCTTTCTTTGTCTGACTTATTTAACCTAGTGTAATACCCTCAAGTCCATTCATATTAAAAATGGCAAGATTTTATTCTTTTTTTATGGATGCTATGATATATACAGGCTGGGGGAAAAGGAGGTTTGCAGTTGGTTGTAAGAAAAATAATCCAATAATTAATAAGTAATAGTGCAATAGTAAACTCTGGACCTGGGCAGGTAGCTCAGTTAGTCAGAGCATCATCCTTATATACCAAGGTTGTGGGTTCAATCCCCACTCAATATGCTTCTTTCTCTTTTTATCTCTCCACTCTTCTCTCTGTAAAGCCAATCAATTAATAAACATTCTAAAGCAAAGAATAAGCCCTGGCTGGGGCCTCTCAGTGGATTGAGCACTGGCCTGTGAACCAAAGGGTCACTGGTTTTATTCCCTGTCAGGGCACATGCCTGGGTTATGGCCCAGGTTCCCAGTAGGAGCTGCATGAGGGGCAACCACACATTGATGTTTCTATTCTTCTCTTTCCATCTCACTAAAAATAAATGAATAAAATCTTTTTTTAAAAAAAGAATAACATCTGTTTCACATACTAACAACTATAAACCTACTTTTCCCTACTGTGTATATCACAGGTTCTTTATTCATATATATATATATATATATATATATATATATATATATATATATGAATGTGTGTGTATGTGTGTGTATGTGTATATATATATATACACATACATACACATACACACACATACACACACACCTATTTTGTTTCCATATCTCAACTATGGTAAATAATTGTGCGATGAACATGGTGGTACATATATCTTTATTATGTGGGTTTTTTTGTTTTATTTGGATAAATGCCCAGGAGTTGAATTGCTAGATCATATAGTATTTCTATTTTTAGTTTTTCAAGGAACTTCTATACTGTTTTTCACAGTGGCTGTACCAATTTACATTCCTACCAATAGTGTGTATATATACTGTTTTACATAAGCCACATGTTAACTATAAAGTAAATAAAAAATTATAAAAGGTAATAAAAGAAATCTAAACCTAACATGATAGGAAATCATAAAATCACTAGTGAAGAAAGCAAGAGAAGTAGAAAGGAAAACAGAGGAACTATAAAACAGCCAGAAAACAATTAACAAAATTTCAATAACTACATATCTGTCAATAATTAATTTAAATGTAAATGGACTAAATTCTTCAATCAAACACATTATTTTTTTTATTGATTATGCTATTACAGTAGTCCCATTTTTTCCCTCCCGTTCATTCCCCTCCTCCCTATACCTCCCATCCACCAGCATTCCCTTCCCTTAGTTCATGTCCATGGGCTGTGCATATAAGTTCTTTGGCTTCTCCATTTCCTATATTATTCTTAACCTCACCCTGTCTATTTTGTACCTACTATTTATGCCCTTATTCCCTGTACCTTTTCAATTAAAAAAACATTGATTGTCTGAATGGATTTAAAAGAAACAAGACCCATCTAGATACTCACCTATATGTTTTCTGCAAAGGACTCACCCCAGATGTAAAGACAGATATACCTGAAAGTGAAAGGATGGAAAAAGATATTTCATGCAAGTGAAAATCCAAAGGCTAAAGTAGCTATACTTGTATCAAAGAAAATATACTTCAAAATAAAGACTGTAATAAAAGACAAACATGAGCATTAAATAATGATATAGGAGTATCTATGTAATAAAGCAAATATTAAAAGACCTAAAGGGAGAAATTGGTAGCAACACAACAATAGTGAGGAACTGTAATGCCCCACTCAAATCAATGAATAGATTATCCAGAGAGATAATCAATGAGGAAACATTAGCCTTACATGAACACATTTGATCAGATGGAATTAATAGACATATGAGGAAATTCCATTCAAGAGCTCAAAAACAGCAGAATAAACATTTTTCTCACATGCACATGAAAAATTTCCAGGATATATCATATGCTAGTTCACAAAAGAAGTCTCAATAAATTTAAGAAGATTGAAATCATATCAAGCATCTTCTCTGCCCACAATGGTATTAAGTTGGAAATTAATTACAAGAAGAAACTGGAAAATTTGATGATATATGAATATTAAACAACATGCCACTGAAAAAACAATGAGTCAATGGAGATATCCAAATTGTAATAAAAAAAATACCTCCAGACAAATGAAAGTAGAAATACAATGGAATACTACGCAGCAGAAAGAAAAAAAGAACTACTAAACTTCGCGACAGCATGGATGGAACTGGAGAGCATCATGCTAAGTGAAATAAGCCAGGGGGCAAAAGACAAATACCATGTGATCTCACCTGTAAGCGGAACCTAACCAACAATGCAAAGATGCAAGGAAAATATGACCAGCAACACTGAAAGGATAAGAAATCAACAGAGACAAGAGGGAAGGAGGGGGGTCAGGGAAAGGGAAGGGAAGGGGAAAGTCAAGGAACATATAGCAAGGACTCATGGACAAAACCAAAGGGGAAGAGCTGAGGGAGGGAAGGAGGGAGAGGGCAAGGGAAAGTGGTGGGGGGAGGCAGAGACAAATGTATTTAGAAAGTAAACAAACAAACAAACAAACAAACAAATAAATAAATAAAAGAAATACAACATACCAAAATATATGGCATGCAGCAAAATCAGCTCTAAAAGGAAAGTTTATAGTAGTACAAGCCTGTCTCACAAAAGAAAATAAATCTCAGGTAAGCAATCTAACTACAGATAAAGAAACCAGAAAAAGAAGAAAAAACAAAGGTCATATTAGTGGAAGGAAGGACATAATAAAGATAGGAGCATTAATAAATGAAATAGAGACTTAAAAGACAATAGAAGACTGAAACAGAGAAATACAAAGGCTTGTATACTGTAAACTATAATTTTATTAAAAGATATTGGAACTGGAGAGTATTATTCTAAGTGAAATAAGCCAGTAGGTAAAATACAGAGACCATACAATCTCACCTATAAGTGAAATTTAATTAACAAAACAAACAAGAAAACAAAATAGAACTAGAGCCATGGGAAAAAAATAACAAACTAACAGTGACCAGAGGAGAGGGAGGAGGCAGATAAAATGGGGTGAAAGAAGGGGAAGGGGCAAGCCAAGGAACACAAATAGAGGACTCATGTGCACAAGCAGTGGTATGAGGGGCATTGCCTGTGGGAGTGCAGAGGGAATTGGGTAGAGTAAAGGAATGGGGAAAAATGCAGGACAACTGTAACTGAACAACAATAAAAAATATATTGAATATAATTTAAAAATTGAAAAAGACAAAAAGAAATGTAAAGATATTCCATGCTATGGAGTGGACAAATTAACATTGCTATAATGTCCATATTATGTAAAGAAATCTACAGATTGAGTGCAATACTTACCCAAATCCAAATGGCCTTTTTCACAGAAATAGAACAAAAATCCTAAAATTTGTATGAAACTACAAAGACATAAATAGCCAAAGCAATTTTGAGAAGAAAAGAACAAAGCTGAGGTATCACACTTTGTGATTTCAAACTATACTTCAAAGCCACAGTAACCAATAGGGAGTAAAACAGACACATTAGTCAATACAACAGAATTAGAGCCCAGAAATAAGCCCACACATATGTGACAACCCATTTACAACTACGGAGCCAAGAGCATAAAAATGGCAAAAGGAAAGTCTCTTCAATAAATGGTATTGAGGAGACTTCAAGATGGCAGAGGAGTGAGTGGAAGTCACACTGACCTCCTCCCATGACCAATCTGGAATTACGAAGTTGTGGAGAAATCACCTGGAAAACAACAGAACAATAAAGAGAGAGGGCCCTTAAAACCTCGGACACAGAGGAATCTTTAGAACAACTTAACTGGTAGGGAGTGCGGTAGAGGCTTGAGAAGGTGGGTTGGTGTCCAAGGGCGGCAGCACCAGAGGGATATTGAAATGGCCAGTTCGATCCCCATGAGAAGAGCAGGGTCTAAACCATAAGCAGGGATCTCCAGCCTACAGCACCAGAGCCCAAAAAGCACACAGAAAACAGCCAGCTGCAAAAAGCGTAGGGATGCTCTCTGCTAGTGACTGGTGGCTGGAGACACAAAAAGCTGTTTAAACAGCCAACACAAAAATTTGTAGTGGCAGCAACTTACCCTGGAATCCAGTGGAGGCGGGGATGTAGTGAGTTGGAGCTGCCTGAGGAGAAACTGGGGAAGGAGGCTTTGGGGAGAGGATGCAGAGACTGGCCAGCAGAGTCTCAGTGCTGACTCACTCCCCATTCCGCAACTGCCATCTT